GAGAGAGAGAGAGAGAGAGAGAGAGAGAGAGAGAGAGAGAGAGAGAGAGAGAGAGAGAGAGAGAGAGAGAGAGAGAGAGAGAGAGAGAGAGAGAGAGAGAGAGAGAGAGAGAGAGAGAGAGAGAGTGTGTGTGTTACAGTACACTTACTACATACACATTAATAACTCATTAAAGCATCGGTTTTATATAATATATATTTTAGGGGAACTATTTACTATTTGAACACTTGAAAAAATAAAACTTTCTCAAACTATGTTTCATCTTTGTTAAAGCATTTATCACATGTCCATGTGTCCTGTAATAAAGATCTCATATTTATGCTTATTTGGGTAATGTGATGATGTGAATTTCTGATTGTGTTTGAAGGGCAATGAAATTTTATCTGTTGTTTCCTTTGGACCCAAATCAGCATTTTTTGGGTAACATCAATTGTTCTCTAAAATGTTTGGTGTGATGATAGTAGTTTTGAGCATATACATACAGGTACTCAAATTCTTAGAAAAAGTAGAATATGACAATAGAACATAACCTCCCCTCTAATCAATTTACATTAAAAAAGTGTTTAAGTCTAGGTGAGACAAGCTCAAAATGAAATTCTGGGGAACAGTCTTAAAAATAAGGGAAAAGTTTTATTTATTTTATTCAAAGACTAGGTTTCTTCAAAAATCATCCCAAGAGACATAAATCTAATTGAAGAGTAAACCATATATATCAGTATACAACTGATATTGATTATCCAATGAACACAAACTTTAGTTTTTGAAATCAATGGAACTGTACCAGACAATGTGTGAAAACAGCCCTAAACACCTCATTAACTGAACCTTATTTAAGCTTGTGAATCCTGCTGTTGTTTACCTGAAGAAATCGATGCATTTGGATGCAATTAAAAGGGTCACAAACTGCATTCTTTAAAGTTTTAAATTGTTTCAAGAGGTGCAGTTATAACATTAGTAGAATATCTACATCAAAAACTGTCATAATTTAGAAATTAAAGGTCATTTTGTATTCTGATTTTAGCCGTTTGATTTGAACACTTTTAAATGGGTGTGTCACTTTAAAGACTTAAATGTAAATACCCTGTCCTGTGATTGGGTAAAATCTTTATGAAGTATAGAGTGCATCAGTTCCCGCCCTCTTTTTTAGCATTGTTGGTTCCGGAAGTATTTTTCCCATTCATTTCTCCCATAAGGATTTTTAGAAAGTCTTACCATTAGCGTTACCATGATTTGTCATGCATTTGCTGGCGTTCATTCTCGAAATTGAAAGTGATCAAGACATTTCACTGGAGCACAATGTTACAAGAAAGACTGTCCAGTTTAGCTTTCCTGACTATTGAGTATTCAGAATGCCCGTGCTCGCAACATCAACATTAAAGCTGCAGTTAAAGACTTAGTGCACCAAAACGCTCGGAGAGTGCAAAGGATTTGGTAGAGTTTTTGCTTGTTTTGTTTTTTTCTTGTAGTAGTCAGTTGATAAAAAGAATAAATAAGTTAAACGTCAAAAGTCGGTATGTTAAGATGTATAGAAAATTCATTTTCCCAAAATGCATGTACTCAGGGCCTAAAATTAACACTCGCCAAATGCGAGTATCAGTCAACGTTGGCGAGTCCAGTTGGCGGGTACAACTTTTACGAATTATAACAATGCAATGATGTGAAAACAACAGAGTTTTTAAAGAGATTCGCTGTTTCTGACATAAGCAAATAAAATTATATTTTCCGAAGACCAGATCATCGTGATTAGCTGTTCTGTCATAAGCGACAAGAGCGAATCAAATAATAGGATACAAACGGACTGATAAGGTCAGAGCTGATGGCCAGCTTGCCCGGAGACATGGGTCTAATAACTTTTACCTGAGAAGATTTTGCTGCTTCATTTCGGAAGATTAACTTTTCCCTTCTTTATTCTTCATAACCTGAGAATGCGGCAACACATGCCTGGGGTTACGCCGCCTAAACGGTGCAGTGAAATATAGTTTGAAAGGCTGCGCGTTCGGATGTACACATACGCTGAGCCGCTTCAGACACCTCACCAGTAGCACTTCAACACACTTCAACACACACAATTATGTCAAAATGCGCGGTTTTGGCGAGTTACCTTATAAATGACCGAGTTGGGAGAAAATCGGATGTTTGTCAGATCCGCGTCATATGCATCAGGTTTTAAAGAGACAGCACTGATTTTAAAGTGAAACCTGTTGATGTCTGTCATTGATGTATATCAAAGAACAAAAGAAAAAGAAAAGTCCTTGGACTGTTAAATTAAATTGTATAGCTTGAATAAAGATTAATATGTATAGTTTATGCATATATAATACAGTTTATGTGAAGATTGTTTTAAAATCACTTAAATTAAAAGTTGTTATATATTTCAGAGCCTATTAAATGTTAAAAAATAATGGCTTTCAATGATACTGTAATGTTGAATGGCTATAATTAATAGGGAAAATTGAGGGAAAATGCTCCAGCAGGACAAATTAAAAACATTGTAAATATGTTTAGTTATTGTAGTAGTAATAACTGCCTGTTTTTGCAAAAAGAGTCTGATGGCCGGTAAAAAAATTTTTGGGCCAGTAAATTTTATCATGTCACCGGCCATTGGCAGGTGTGGCAAAAAGTTAGTTTTACTGTATATCCTAAAGTATAAAGTTGTTCCTTTAATATATGTGTTTCCTAATTTTTACTGTTCGTTTTCTTACTGCAAGACATGAATGCTTGTATAATTTATTTTCTACAATTAGCGATGCTTATGTAGGCCAGTGTTTGAACTGAGACATGTTCTGGCCATTAGTCTACATCAGGGGTGACCAACGTCGGTCCTGGAGAGCCACAGTCCTGCAGACTTCAGCTCCAACCCTAATCAAACACACCTGAGCAAGCTAATCAAGGTCTAAGGGTTACTAAAAAGCAGCGGGCACGTTCATAGACTAAATATTAATTCCTGCAGGGAATCTGACTAAAAAGCGATATCAAAATCACTGTAATCAGAACATTTTTATATAATAATTATTCAATAATAACATCAAATGCATCAATGCAATGATGATAATTCATAATTCACACTGTTAAATCAGTAATGTAAATGGGGGAGACGGACTCAGTAGTATGTTGCAGCAGGTGCAAAATAAATTTTCATACATGTCATTACTGCTGGTGGGAGGGGCCCCATCTCGTTAATTGGGCTCACAGATGTGTGGTACGCCACTGTCTCTCAGTAAGTACTTTGAAATAAGTACCTGCTTTGTGACTGTAAAAGTATGTTCTATAACTCAAGTATGCCAGGCATCATTATAATCACTGTTTTGCTTTAGTAACAGTTTCATATTGAATCTAAAGGGGTAAAAGGGGTAAT